CACTTGGTAGCCCAGGCTGGCCTCGAACTCACAGAGATCCGCCTGCCTCTGCCTCCCGAGTGCTGGGATTAAAGGCGTGCGCCACCACCGCCCGGTGGATTACTTTATTTTTAATTATGTAGTGGTGGGGTTTTGTACATGTGAGTGCAGGTGCGTACAGAGGCCAGAGGTGTAACTCCCCCTGGAGCTAGAGTTATAGATAGGTGGTTGTGAGATACCCAGTGTGGGTACTAGAAACCTAACTTGGGTCCTCTGCAACAGTAATACTTACCTGCTGAGCCAGCCCCTACTGTGTGTATGTATAGTTTTTATTATATTTTCATTTCTTTTGTTTGAATGTGTGGGTGGGGAGGACCATGCCACAGCTCACAGGTGGAGATCAGAGGACAATTGTAGGTGTTTTCCCTCTCCTTCCACCATGTAGGTCCCCGAGATCAAACTCTAGTTACCAGCCTTGGAGACAAGGGGTCTTCGCCTGTAAGCTATTTCACCAGTTTGGGTTTTTTTGTTGTTGTTTTTTGTTTTGTTGTTGTTGTGTGTTTAGCAAAGTCTCACTAGGTATCCCTGACTAGCTTAGAACTCAATATATAGATCAGGCTAGCCTTGAACTCCCACCATGATCTGCAGTGATGGAATCCAGGTGCCAGAGTCTGAGTTGCTGGCACTAAGAATTTGAAAACAGCTCCTTAAATGTTGGAGACGATGGACCTGGGAACGTGGCAGAGTTGCTGGTCCAGGTCTCTGCGGGCTTTGCCCCCACCCCGAGGACCTTCCGTGGTCCCCGGAACCTTCTCTAATCTCCCTGCTGACCCACCACTGAGAAGAGAAAGGAGGCAGCGTGGAGTAAAGGGGAGGTGAGGGAGGAAGAGCCTGGAGCTGTCCCCCTGGGCGCTCTCCTGTCGGAGACAGTAAGTTACAAACACTCATGAGGCTCCGTGGGGTCTGACTCACTCTTCCCCTGCAAGCACACAGTTCGATGGTTTAGTTGATTCAAACAGTCACACAGCCCTGGCATAATCCATCGTCTCCATTTTCCTCTCTGCAGGAAGAAAGCCTTCCCCACTGGCCGTCACTCGCTCCTCTCCAGCCAGTGACAGCTGCTGGTCTGCTTCTGGACTACAGAATGGACGGTTTCAGAGAGTGTGCTGCTTTGAATGAGAACGGCCTGCCATGGGATGGTCTGTATGTCAAATTACTCTGTATGGTCAATAAATAAAGCACTGATTGGCCAGTGGCTAGGCAGGAAGTATAGGCAGGACTAACAGAGAGGAGAAAAGAAAGAACAGGAAGGCAGAAGGAGTCACTGCCAGCCGCCACCATGACAAGCAGCATGTGAAGATACCGGTAAGCCACGAGCCACGTGGCAAGGTATAGATTTATGGAAATGGATTAATTTAAGCTATAAGAACAGTTAGCAAGAAATCTGCCATGGCCATACAGTTTGTAAGCAATATAAGTCTCTGTGTTTACTTGGTCGGGTCTGAGCGGCTGTGGGACTGGTGGGTGAGAGAGATTTGTCCTGACTGTGGGCAAGGCAGGAAAACTCTAGCTACAATGGCCTCCATGGGCTCATATATTTGAATGCTTGGTCCACAGTTTGGAACTGTTTGGGAAGGATTAAGAGGCGTGGCCTTGTTGTAGAAGGTAGCCTTGGAGATTTCAAAAGCCCGCAGCTTTCTCAGTTAACTCGATCAGCCTTGTGATTATATCTCATGATGTAAGCTCTCAGCTACTGCTCCAGGGCCATGCCTGCTTGTCTGCTACCGTTCTGCCTGCCATGATGGCCATGGACTCACTATCTGAAACCATAAACCTCAATAAACTCTTCCTTCTATAAGGTTTCTTTTTTTTTTTTTTTTTTAAATCATGGTGTCTTCGCAGCAATAGAAAAGTAACTAAGACAGATAAGGTGATCTTTCATATCTAACCTCTTTAAGTAACATGCTTCCAAGGCCCACCCATAGCATAGCATGAATCAGCACTTCATTCCTTTCTATTGCCACATGTAATAGCCCATTGTTGCGCCAATTCCTAAATGGTCTTTTTAATAATAATAATAAAAAAAAAACCCGGAGCCAGATATTGGGGTAAATGCTGAAAGATCAGAGAGACAAAGGAACAAGCCACAGCCACCTCTCACCTCTAGGATTCCTCAGCCTGAAAAGCCTCAGTTCCTGTCTCCTCACGCCTTATGTACCTTTCTCTGCCCAGCCATCACTTCCTTCTTAGTGCTGGGATTAAAAGTTTTATGTGTGTTTCCCAAGCAAAGGCACGAGATCTCAAGTGCTGGCATTAAAGGTGTGTGCCACCACTGCCTGGCTCTGTTTCTCTCCTAGACTGAGTCCATCCAGTCCATCAAAGCCATCGAGGGTGGCTTTGAACTCACGGAGATCCAGATGGATCTCTGCCTCCTGAGTGCTAGGATTAAAGGTGCGTGTGCCACCACTGCCTGGCCTCTATGTTTAATCTAATGGCTTGTTCTGTTCTCTGATCTTCAGGAAAATTTTATTAGGGTACACAATATACCACCACAGCCCATTGTTTTAATATGCCCTGTTTTGTGTATATCATCCTCAGGTACTGAACACTCATATTGTTTCTGCTTTTTTGCTGTTACGAATAATCATAACAATCATAGTCATATTGTGTGGATATATGTACTTTTGGCTTCATACTTTGAAGCAAAATTGCTGAGGTCAAGTGGTAAGTGACTTTGAGGGACTGTCCAAACCTAATATTACATGTTGGGTTAAGAGGGAGCAATTTAAAAAGCAAACAAGGGTGGGAGATGACTCAACAGTAAGAGTGCTTGCTGCCAAATCTGATGACCTAAGTTTGATCCCCAGGTCCATGAGGTGGAAGAGAAAACCACCTCCCACAAGTTTTTCCATGCCATGCATGTATACACACACACACACACACACACACACACACACACACACACACACACACACACACACAGGATGAAATTAAATGTAACCTAAGAGGAGACAACAGACTTCACAGCACTGATCACTTCCCCTCCCCCCACCCCACCCCCGGGGATTTAAGGAGAGGCTCTCTAAGGATATCCCAGAATGCAAGAAAGAGGAGGTGTTCTGGAAAGAGGGAATGGAGCAGAAGAACCCCCAGGGAATAAGTACTTCCTCCTCCCCCAGGGGAGGAGAGAGACAGGCACCCCACCTTGTAGCCATAACCCATGCCAGATGTTTTAGCTAGAAGTGGGAAATCCACAGGGGCGCCCAAGAGAGGCCAGCTCTGCAGGGGGATCTGCCAGGTCTGGGGAGGAGCTCAGCAGCTGAGACAATATTTGCCTCTACCTCTCAAAGAGTCTGTGTGTTGGCAGCAACTCAGAAAAGAGGCTTCTGGGGAGGAAGACCAGATTGCATTAAAACCAAGCCATGTCTGAGTATTTGATGCGTATAGCAGTAGTGAGAAGAGAGAAGATAAACTGAGGCACAAAGTCAGCGATACACCAGGAAGTTGAGATGGGAACCTAGAGGCCCTGGTACTGTGTACTTTCCCTGGGCAGGTGCTCGGCTCGTATCCGGGTGATCTTGGAGGTGGAGAGCCAGGGAGCCTGAGGGTGGAAGTCTCACGGGGCTGCTGTCTGGGAGACAGTGAAGGAGAGGAGGTAAAGGCTTAACAGTAGCGGGTAGTGAGTGAGGAGAGTCACATTGCTTCCATAGGCTTTCGTTGACATCTTCCAGAGAAAGCAAAACTTGGTCTGACGTTCTCAGCTCGTGGGGCATGTGCCGTCCCTAACTGCTTGGTACATTTGCAGTGTAAAACGTCCCCATGGGATTGTGTGTTTGAAAACTTGGTCTCTGGCTGATGGCACTCTTTTGGGAGGTTATGGGAGCTTTGGGAGGAAGTTACATGCCCTGAGAGGTGTAAGCGCGCCCTGCTCCTGCCTGCTGTCCTCCTCCTGATCTACCGTCTGTGCCTCCTGCCACAGAGCAGGCTGCTGCTGTGCCTCCCTCCGTGAAGAACTCTAGACCCAGACTGTGAGCCAGAACAGACCCTTCCTTCTTCAGGCTGCTTCGTCAGGTGACTTCAGGCTGGTGAGGAGGAGTCACGCATATACAGCTTTAAGAGCACCAGTGAGTTTGAGTGCCAAGAAGAGAGCTTCAGGAGGAGACTTGGAGTTGGGAGGGAGGTCACAACGTTCTCAGTTTGGGGAAGAACCTTTACCATCTGCCTTGCTGGGAGCTGCCCAAGAGAGCTCCTTCTGCAACTTAGCCCTCACCCTCACCCCATGCCCACCAGTGTACTTGCCAACCTCTCCAGACTCTGCACAGACAGCCAATGGCACCTCAAGTTCAGCCGCCGTGAGGACAGGAGCCCTGTGCCTCCTGTGTCTTTTTCTTCCTCCTTTCCTCCTTTCTCTTCCATGTTCCTTTGCTCTGTCTGTCTGCTTGTCAGTAAAAAACAGCCACTCTCCTCCTGCCCAAAGCTCCCGAGAGACTGGCATCTCAGGGTGGTACCATGTCTGCTCTAACATTCAGGCTGTGGGCTGAAGATAAGGATCCGGGTTCTAGAAGAGGGGTCCTAACGCAAAGTCAGAGGGGAAAAAAAAAAAAAACAACAAAACAACAAAAACAAAACATCCCCTGGATGGGAAGGATGTGGCTAAAATTTGGGCTTGAACTATAGAATGGCAGGCCAGAGAGTACAAAATTCCAAACCCCTTGATTATGTTCTTGATTTTCACTAAATGTTTTTGAGGGCCAAGTTCATGGCCAAAGAGAACTGTGAGTACAAAGGCTTTGAAAGGAAGAGGTTGTCAAGGGTGAAGCATGGCACAGTCTGGCCTTTGGTTTCCTAACTGTGGCATTTCTGCACTGTACCCCCTTCCAGGGTTTTCTTGGGATGAGCCCAGGCTGCAGAGGTGGCTGGGTGCCAGTGTGGAGCTGGTCTCCATCCAAGCATGCCTTCTTATTGCTAGAGCTCTGGTTTGGCAAGGCTTGGCAGGGCATAGGGGTGTGTGTGAGAGGATAAGTCTGAACAGTGTGGAAAGATCATGCAGGTCTTTCTCTATGCTGCTTTAGCGCACGAGGAAGTTCGAGTTTGACCACATCCTCTTGGAATTGGATCCTTTCATTTGTTCTACAACATTGGGCAATGTTTAGATATCAGGAAACCAAAGAGAGTTGACCCACAATTACATAATAATAGTACATTTAAAAATATCAAATGGATTCTGTGGTAGTTTTTTATTAGTTTCTGATGATAAAAAAAAAACCTCATCTACAATAGGGAATCTTAGATGTCCATCAGCCAATGAAAATGTAGTGCATAGTGACCATGGAATTTTATTCAGCTGCAAAGAAACATGTAATGTGCAGGAAAATGAATATAACTGGAAAATATGATGTTAGGTAGGGTAACTTGGGAAGACATCAATATGCTCCCTCATGTATGGCTCTCATTATATGTGTGTATTTATGTGGGAGTGAGTGTGGGCAGATGTCAGGAAAGCAGGAAGCAGCCTGGGAGGGGGAAAGAAAAAGGCTTTAAGGGAGCCAGGAGGGAGGGTAACAGACCACGTGACCTGGAAGGTGGAAAAGGAAGTACAGGGACAAAGGGGAGAGAATGGGGGTACAGAGATGGGGAATGGAGAGAGGAGTCAACAAAACCCAACAAAAATGTGGGAAAGGCTGTGAGCAAATGTGTTATTTTCCATGCCAATCTAAAACAGCAACCAAACAAAAATGGAGGTGAGGCTGAGGAGAGGGCCCAGTCCCAGTGTCCCCAGAAACAATGTAAGAAGCCAGATACTGTTGCACATGTGACCCCAGCAGGGGCCAGCCAGCTGGGAGAAGGTGGGGCTGCAGAAGTGAGAGAAGCCTCAACTTGCTGGAAGGAGAGTCTTGGCTTCAGAAAGCTGTCCTCTGATCTCCACATGCATGCATACACACACACACACACACACACACACACACACACACACACACACACACACACCCCTATGTACACCCATGCACACACACACACACAATAGCCTGGTCTACAGAGTGAGTTCCAGCACAGGCTCCAAAGCTACATAGAGAAATCCTGTCTCAAACCCCCCCACACACAAAAAAAAAAGTAAAACAAACAATAAAACCACAGGAAATAACATTTCTCACATTCATCTACAACTGATTTCTGATGTTTTAAAAAATGATTAACTGCATACTGCATTAAAATTGCACTGAATATGAATTTTCCATTAAAAAAATTTTTAGCCTAATTTCACTCAGTTCACAGTTTCAGAGTTAAGGCCTTAGTGGAGCACGCCTTTAATCTCAGCACTGGACAGGCAGAGGCAGGGGGATCTCTGTGAGTTGGGGGCCAGCCTGATGGTCTACATAGCAAGTTCCAGGACTGCGAGAACTACGTGGTCGAGAAACCGTGTCTTAAACATAATCAACCAAACGAACAAAAAGAGCTAATTGAGCTCCTTCTTCCCCAAGTGTTACTGGTAGCATGGTGGTTGGGGTTACAGGTAGGGCCCTGAAGGAATGGCCTGCCTGTATCTTTTACTCCTCTGCAGTGTATCGCCCCAGTCTGTACAGGACCACTCTGCTGCTGGCCTGTAAATCACTTTATATAAAATGTTGCAGAAGCAGCACCTTACAAGCTCTGAGTCCAGGCCTTGAGAGATGATGGGAGCCTTTTTAATCCCTGAGGACCGGCAATGACCTCCTAGCAAGAGGACCCAGACCTATCCCTCCAACTGGAGCTGTCCCATGGCTGACTGAACAGGGAGAGCAGCAGAAACCTCAGGTACCACTCAGTGTGGTTTCAGGACTCTGGGAGCTCAGCAATAAGTGACTAATACAACTGCTGTCCAGCCGACGCCAGAGTGGAGTCCTTGGCCCGTGGAAGACCTTATGGACTTAGGACAGTGTTCAGTAGAAGAGCGCTTGTTGGGTGTGTGTGTGAGGCCTGGGTCCAATCTGCAGATGCCCAGCTCCAAAAACCAAACCCTCAAACAACAACAACAACCACGTTTCCCGACCTCCCAGTACAATGAAGTAAGGTCCCCACCACGGAAGTGACTGGGAAATCCTACCGATTCACCTTTCAGCCCCAAATATAACAATGTGTGCCACGTGGAGTTTTATCACTGAGCAAAATAGGGTGAGAGGAAGCGGCTGAAGGGACTGCGTGTCTGCTGTTCGTTTCTGCTCTCCCCTGCACTCCAAAGGTGTGGCCAGTGTGGCCGTGCCCTCTTTGATCTCAGCTTTCTGCGAGGTGGACCCTTCCTCCCTGCTCTTCTTTTCGGGTGGGAGCACGCCCCCCTCAGCAGCTGCCGGCACACTGGTAGACAAGGCTGTTTCCCTAAGGGGTGCACGTCTCCTCTCCCCAGTCTCCCTCCCCGATAGCATGACATTTCTTGCAGGAATTTAAATGAAAACTCTTCTTCCTAGTCTCTACTGCAGGATAAACTTTGCTGCTTTATGGAAAAAAGAAACACATAGCCAGGCACGGCGGCCCATGCCTTGAATCCCAGCTGAGTTCAAGGCCAGCCTGGTCTACAGAGAGAGTTCCAGGACAGCCAAGCTACATAGTGAGACCTTGTCTCAAAAAAACAAACAACAAAACAAACAAACAAAAAAACCACAGAAGCATACAATCAGGCAGTGTTTCTTTCATAGGGTTCCATTGGATTTTTTTTTGTTTTCTGATACAAGGTCTCTGTGGTGATATATTGTGTACTCTAATAAACTTGCCTGAGGATCAGAGGACAGAGCCAGCCACTAGATTAGACATAGAGGTCAGGCGGTAGTGGCACACACCTTTAATCCCAGCACTTGAGATCTCATGCCTTTGCTTGGGAAGCACACACGCCTGTAATACCAGGAATTAATATGTATGGCAGGGCAGAGAAAAGTATATAAGGTGTGAGGAAAGAGGACCTCACTCTCCTCAGGCTGAGGATTTCGTAGAGGTAAGAACTAGTGGCTGGCTGCTCTGCTTCTCTGATCTTTCAGCTTTCACCCTGATATCTGGCTCCGGGTTTTTTATTAAAAGACCATCTAAGATTCGAACAACAGGTCTCATGTAGCTGACCTCCAACTCATGATGGAGGACAACCTTAAACTTCTGATCCACCATGTCCTGACGGCTGGGATTACAGGTGTGTGCAATTATGCCTCCTTAAGCAGTTCTGGGAATCAAACGCAGGGCTTCATTCATACATTAAGCTGTAGAAACTGTTAAACCTCAGCAGCTCTCCCTCCAGGTTCAGCTTTCAGAACACTGTCAATGAGACAAGTCAGATGAAATCTTTTGAGGCCTCATTTCTGTCACTCATCTACTCATGTCTTAGGCTACGTGAATCATTTGTTTCCTTCTAGGTTTGAGGAGTATTCCATTGTGCAGATGTACAACAGCTTGTTGACGTTCGTTAGATGTTAAGGTTGGTTCTATTTGGCACGATTATAAAGAGAGCTATTATAAACCTCTCTTCATTTTAATTCATAAAACTACTTTATCAGCAGTAATATTAAACAGCCATTCATAATGTCTGACTTTATATATCAAGACTTTACCTTAGTAGTTTTGGGAGTGTTAAATAAGGATATCCTTTTTATTATGCCTTTTTTTAGTATGTATTAATTGTAAAATAAATTGATGATTTTCATTATTACATTTATTTTGAGACATGTTGTCACATAGCCCAGGCTGACCTCCAACTCATTATGTAGCTAAGGATGACCTTGTACTCATAGTTCTCCTGCCTAAACCTCCCACGTGCTGGGATTACAGGTGTAAGCCACTGTGCCTGGTTTTCCTTATGACATTTTCATAAAAACACACTTGCGTCACATTCACCTACACATGACAGTCTGCCTCCAGCCTTCTGGCCCTCTCTCTGCCTGTCCTTCAATAGTTCCCTTTCCGTTGCATAGTCTGCTTTTCTAGAGTCTACATATGAAAGAAAAGATGCAGTCCTTGTCTCTTTCTCATTTGGAAAACAGCTAGGTTTGACCTCTTGTACCAAGCAGGCTGTGGGTGGCAAGAGACACCAAGCTTAGCACTGGGATCAGCTGAACAACTGTGTGTGATAAAGTGTCAAACTCCATGCAGTCTCTATCAATCAGGGGACTTTCCAGAAAATCAGAATCGCCCGAGTTAGGGCTTCTTTTGCTGCAATGAAAAACCATGACCAAAAAGCAAGTTGGGCAGAGGGTTTCTTTGGCTTACACTTCCATATCACTGTTGTCATTGGAGAAAATCAGGACAGGAACTCAAACAGGGCTGGAACCTGGAGCTAGGAGCTGATGCAGAGGCCGTGGAGGGCTTGCTTAGCCTAATCTCTTGTAGAACCCAGGACCACCAGCCCAGGGATAGAACCACTTGCAATGGGCTGGACCCTCCCCATCAGTCACTAATTGAAAAAGTACCTTACAGCCAGATCTTATGGAGGCATTTTCTCAGTTGATCTCTTTTCAGATAACTCTAGTTTGTGTGTCAAGTTGACATAAGACTAGTCAGCACAATTGACCCTCCCTTGCCAAATTGACACACAAACACATCACAATTAAGCCATGCTTTTCCTTTCTAATTTATCCCCAAGATCTCACATTAAAAATTTTAAATAACTTTAAAAGTCCCACAGTCTTTACAAATTCAAACACATTAAAATTTCAGTCTCTTTAAAATACCAAATTTCTCTAAAAATCCAGAATGTCTTTTTTTTTTTTTTTTTGGTTTTTTGAGACAGGGTTTCTCTATGTAGCTTTGGAGCTTTTCCTGGAACTCACTCTGTAGCCCAGGCTGGCCTTGAACTCACAGAGATCGCCTGTCTTTGCCTCTTGAGTGCTGGGATTAAAGGCGTGCACCACGACCGCCCGGCCAGAATGTCTTTTAAAAGTTCAAAGTCTTTCAGCTGTGGGCTTCTATAAACATCATAATTAAATTAAATACCTTATTCAAGAGGGACGAGCCAGGACACAGTCACAATCTGAACCAAGCAAAACCAAATTTTTCCAACAGTGTAAATAAGTCAGTATCTGATTATCTGGGATTCACTCATGATCGTCTAGGTTCCTCCAAGGAGTTTGAGTCACTTCTCTGGCTCCACCCTCTGCAGCACACACAGATCATCGTCTAGGCTCCAGCTGGCTCCACTCCACAGCTGCTGCTGCTCTTGGTGGTCATCCCATGGTCCTGGCATCTCCAAAATTCAGAGGTCCCTGCTGCAACTGGGCTGCACTTTCGCCAATGGCCTCCCCTGGACGCTCACAGTACCAGCCTCAGCTGCTCTGCATGACCCCTTCATGCTTTCAAAACCAGTACCACTGGGTGACTCTTAAACTACCAAGTTTGGCTGCCAGCACAAAGTACAACTTCAGTTGCTTCTGAAACACACAGCTTGTATGTGCTGACCCTGAGGAAACACTTCCTGGAAGATTTCACCTCAATGATGCTGGTCTCTTCTCAATCATGGCTAATTTCTTAGCTCCAGCTAACCAGCATCAATTGGTCCAGTGATACAAAGGTTTCACCTCAATGTTGCCAGTCTTTCGTTAATCATGCTGACTCTTCAGCCCCAGCTGACCAGAACAATAGAATCTTAATTCAAGATAGCAAACCACCCCATAGGGTCTTTAAACTCCCCTCCAAAACTTCACAAGCCAGGCCTCCATCTTCTGCACTGTTCTCAACATTCTTATCTTCCAAGCTCGTACAGAACAGCTCACTGAACTCTCAAGACTCAGTGGCTTTTCAGTCCAAAGTTCCAAAGTCCTTCCACGGTCCACCTAAAAACATGGCTAGGTCTGTCACAGCAATATCCCACAATCTTGATACCAACTTGTCTTCGTTAGGGTTTCTATTTCTGCGACAGAACACCAGGACCAAAAGCCAGTTGGGGAGGAAAGGCCTACACTTCCACATTGCTGTTCAATAGGCTGGGTAGCTAGAGCTATGTTTGGATTGTGCCTCTTCCCTGAATTCAAATGTTGAAGCCCTTCTCCTCACTGAGACTGAATTGGAAGGTAGAGCCTTGAGGGAAGAAGTAATGAAGGAGAAATGAGGTCACGGGCTGAGGCCTTTCTACAACAGGATGCTGTCTTTTCAAGAAAGACAATTGCCGTGTCTCTTTTTTTCCACAGGTGCACAGAAGAGACACCACGTGAGGACAAGCAGAAGGCAGCTGCGCGGGAGAGGCAGGCAGGAAGCCTCACCAGACACACATCATGCTAGCACTTTGATCTTGAGCTTCTGGCCTCCATAACTTTAGGAAAATAAATATCGGTTGTTGAAGTCACCCCATCTGTAGTACTTGGTTATGGTAATCCCGATTGACAAACGTAGGTGGGGAGGGGTAGAGTTTCATTCATTTTAAGGAATTGGTTTGTGCAGTTGTGTGGCCTGGCCAGTTGGAGATCTTCAAGGCAGATTGTCACACTAACAACTCAGTGAAGCTACATATTCTCTTGAAAACTGCAGTTTGTGTTCTTACCTTCAGCTGATAGTATGAGCCTCACCCACATACGTTATCAAGCTTAATCTCCTTTATTTAAAGTCAACCAATTTAAAACCCAGTGAGGCAGTGCATATCTATAGCCCTAGTTACTTGGGAAGCTGAGACAAGAGGAGATTCAAGGCCAAGAGTTTGAGACCAGCCTACTAGGCAACATAGGGGTCACTGCCTGAAACACACACACACACACACACAAAGAGAAAGAGACAGAGACAGAGAGACAAAGAAGCAAGAGAGAGAGAGAGAGAGAGAGAGAATCAGCTGAAGCAAATGCTATCACATATACAAAGTGTCTTCACAGCCACTATAGACTAGTGTCTGACCCAACTAGACCCCTAGCTTAAGCTGACATTGGAGTAACCCTTACCCTGGTCATGGATTTTAGGAAGGAGCTCATTGGAAGCATAGAGCTTCATCTGTCTTGCCATCCTCTGTCCTCTCACTACATAAATATGGAAGGAATCCAGCTGATGGCTAGGGAGGGGGCTGTCGTGACCACCAGTACAACAGAGCTGCTGTTTGAGCAAGCACGGAGCCCAGTCCATCGCTGGCCCCAAGTAGACTGGGTAGGGAGCTAAGTTCTGTTTCTGTTCAGCTCAGTGCTGATGAGCCTTTGCACCACGAGCTTGCCATGTAGGGAGGCAGCCCAGAGACCCTGAGATTTTCAAATGTCACAGAGACTACCATTTATCTGTGGAGTTTTATCAAGAACCAGGCAGAGCTGTAGGCACTTTGTGTCACATTATTTAGTCCTCAAAAAGTCTGTGTGGTGAGCGCCATTTCTACCAGATTTACAGATGAGCTGATGAGGCCCTGAGTTAAACGAAGAAGCAGAGCTGAGATGTACTCAAACAGTCTGGCTCCAGAGCTCAGAGTTCTGCCACTCAGTTCTTTGGATTTAACACACCTCTATAAACCACACAGGGTCATGTATGTCCATACCATAGACACACATAAAGCCAGGCGGTGGTTTGGAGCATAACAATTCTGCATAGATCATGTGTGGCTAGAAAACTTTTTCCTTTGTGTTCTTGTCTGTCACCAATACGCATGACAGAAACAACTTCAGGGTCTTTTGGGGGTCACTTTTCTGGAAGTTTCAGTCCATCATGGCAGAGAGGTGGGCATGGTGCACCCCATGATGGCCAAGTGTGAGGCAGTGGTTGGTCACATTGTGATGGACTAGGAGGTAGAGTGCAGGTTGGACCAGGATTGGGCATAACCAACCTCCGAAGAATGACCCTGCTGGCCAAGCTCTACAGCTGCACAAGAGTGGCCAAAACTGAGGACCAAGCTCGCAACCCGTGGGCCTGTAGGAAATACTGCAAACTCAAGAGAATTTTAACTTGATGCGTTTTAGCTTATTGGATGCACTGGACCTTAGAAAGCTTTCATTGTATTGGCAGCTAGAGAGGGATAGGGATGACATGGATTTGTTGACAGAAGACATATGGTATTCTTGAGTTTAGTTTTTTTGAGTACTGAACTGTGCGGGTATTTATTTTGGCTTTTCATGTTAATATTTGACATATGAAATTCACAATTCATAAATCTTTGTTCTTTTGTCAGTTGTTAAAGATCAAATTATAGATCTCATTTGTTTAATTCCTATAAGATTTCACTTGCTATAAGAATTCTCAAGTGAAAGATGCTTGCCCCCAAGTAACATTGCCCACTATCCCATATCACTGGGCCGCTAAGCCAGGGACTTGGAGCACTTAGGAATCCTGGTACTTCAGAAAGGTAGAATGGATCCTCTTGCTGTCTGACAGCCCTGTGGCCTGCCTTCCACAACACTGATGCTTCTGTGACCTACAGAGGGTGGGTCATGTGGCTCACAAGTCCAAACTCCAGTTACACGCCTCTTGCTTTGACAGGGGTCTTAAAAACACCCATGCCCTCCAACACAGATGAAGATTAAACTTGTTGGAATCCTGCATTCTCTCGCTTTGTCAGACTGCAGGTGACATTTGTTTAAAATACTCTCTGACTGAAATCTGGATGTCACACATGCATCCATCCATTGATGAGGTTATTCTGCTTGCCAAGGCCTGGTGAGAAGCCTGTGTGAAGTGGGGTCCATACCCTGAAACCAAAATCTGTGGAATCTTGTTTACAGATGTGATTAAGGATCTGGAGCTGAGATCTTCCAGGACTAGTGTTTGGAGCTTAAATTCAATGTGTCATTGTAAGAGATGACAGAGAGGAAGACTCAGAGACAGAAAAGGCCACCATGTAGCCAGAGAAGAGACTGAAGTGATGCAGTTACAGGCAAGGAACAGTTGCAGCCCCAGCAGCAGGAAGAGGCAGGGAAGCATCCTCCCCCAAGATGCACGGCAGGGACACAACCTGTATCTTCAGAACAGTGACTGAACACATTCCTGTTGCCTTAAGCCTCCAAATTGTGGGCGTTTGGTAAGGTGGCCACATTCACATGGGATATATAGGGCCATACTTCATGGAATATATATTGAGACTCTTTTTTTTTTTTTAAAGATTTACTTATTCATTATGTATACAGTGTTCTGTCTGCATGTATGCCTGCAAGCCAGAAGAGGGCACCAGATTTTATTACAGATGGTTGTGAGCCACCATGTGGTTGCTGGGAACTGAACTCTGGACCTCTGGAAGATCAGCCAGTGCTCTTAACTGCTGAGCCATTTCTCCAGCCCATATATTGAGACTCTTAAGTTGCAAGCATGGAAGGCTAATGAAAGAGACATGTGTCTTAAGGAAGCTAGTTACTAGAACTGAGAAAGGAACTGGAGGTAGCACAGTGGTTCACACCTGTATTCCCAGCACACAGACACTGAGACTGAGGCAGAAGGATCATAAGTTCAAGAATAGCCTGGGATAACTAGTAAGATCTTATCTCAAAATAAAATATCTGAACCTCAGGATGAAAAGAGATGGAATGCAGGCCTGGAGTCCTGGTAGGACCCTCCTGTAAACAAATTTCTAAATGTTCTTAATAAACAAAAAACACAGAGCCAAATATAGGCATGAAAGCCTTAGAGAAATCAGGGAAATAGGGAAAGCCACCAGCCAACCTCACCTCACCAACTCTGCAGCTTCCAAATGTGAGTTACTTCCTGTCTACCCGAGTCTATGTGCCTTGCTGTGGAATTAAGGCATGTGCCACCACACCTGGCTCTGTTTCCAGTGTGGCCTTAAACACACAGAGATCCTGCCTGCTAAGTGATAGGATTAAGGGCTTGTGCTACCACTGTCTGACTTCTTTGTTTACATATAATGGCTTTCTTTTTCCTCTGATTCTCCAGGCAAGCTTTATTTATCAAAGCACAAATAAAATATCACCACATTTCAGCACAAATAAAATATCACCACATTTCCCCTTTTTTGTCTAATAAAAAGAAAAAATTTTAAAGTTATAACTAATATAAGAAAAACTATATACAATAAGTACAATAACTATATACAATATATGCAAGCATTAAATACATCAAGAATGTCTAGTCCATTTGTATTTGACAAATTTAGAGAAAATATTCCATTATCTATCCTATTTTGATGAGTCCAAAATGTGCTTTTCACTTTCTATCCTAACTTATGCTACCAACAGGAAACTATCTTATGGTGTCTTTCAAACTTATACACTTAACACCTCTTAGTGAGTTTCTTTTCTGAATTTCTTAACAAGGAAAACTGTAACTATAACTATCTAATCTTGAACTCCCTCAGGGACCCAAGAAGGAAATAATATTACCTAGTAAAACAGGAAGTGCAAACAAGTGACTTCCAAAAAATGAGTTATGATGGAAACAGCCAGCTTCCTGGATAGTCACCCCAGGTTTCTCTGCACATTGGAACATCATCTTTGGCCTTCAGGCTTAGCATATCTGACAGACTCATTTATGAAGTAGGATGTACACAAGGCCTACAGCTCAACCTTACTTTCGGTGAGAGCAGTCCATGTACCAGATAAGTCTGAATTCCACCAGTGTCCTGTCATGATTCAGGATTTTAAATTCTGGAAATTGCTGGTGTTTTTGGAATTCAGCTGCCAATTCTTCTCAGCTTGTGTGTGGCTTTATCTTGGCATTCATTTCTTCTTGGTTTGTGGGTAGCTTCATCTCCTTTATTAAATGCCAGTCTACCATTGAGAGAATAGACTCCATCAATCTAGTTACTTTGTCAAGAATAACTGTTTCAGCTACTGTCCCACTGCACACCAGAAGCCATTGGTCCATTGCCTGTTCAGCTGCCTTTGAAGAAAGGGGCGCTGTACCTTTTCCGGATTGCAAAGCCACTTCAGTGATGGTGCCTTGGAGGATGCCTGTTGCTAAAGCCACAGCCACATTTGTCTTGGCAAGGATCAGTAGTCCTTTGTTTTGTGTCCTGTTTGTCCATTTTGGATAGCATACTGTCAGCAGTCAGTGCAAGGGCACTTTCTTGCCCAGTGGCTAACTTTTGCCACAATGAAAGTTAACTCCATATGCATTTTCTTCAATGCCCATATCTTCTCTGAAGTAGATTGATGCTGCCAGGAGCAGACATGTCTCATAGTCATTAAAAAAAAGAAAAGAAAATCTATGTTATTAAAACATTTTAAGTGCCATATTATGTAGATCTCTGAAGGTTTTGAAGATGACCTATCTAAAATATATCTCTGCTTGACCTTG